AAGACTACTTTTATCCCTCCTGGGGAAAATGAATTTTTAAAAAGGAGGGGTGGGACTGTTTGCACAGCACTCTTAAACTGATTCCTGATGGACTTCAACTCCCAGAATCCCCCCCCCAGCATAGCTGGCTGGGGATTTCTGGGAGTTGAAGTCCATCAGGAATCAGTTTAAGAGTGCTGTGCAAACAGTCCCACCCCTCCTTTTTAAAAATTCATTTTCCCCAGGAGGGATAAAAGTAGTCTTCAGGAACTCCCACCCCCTCCCGCCCCCCTGCAAGAGGAGGCTGAAAACTACTGAGAAAACCAATTGGAATCTCCTAGAATGGCCCCACTTTTTCTTTTCCCAGGCCTCTCTAGGGCTTCATCTTGATGTTGGAGGACAATACAGAAGGAGTTAGTTTAACTCCAGACAAGACTAGGTCTGTAGGGGGATAAATGTAACTTCTTCTAGATTAATCGGCAGAGTCAATTCATTAAAGTTTTGGAGATATATTGCAGGTTCTCCTGTCCCTGTTACACAGGTTGGTAAAAACAGCCACGGGTTCCCAAAATAGCTGTGACTTTTCAGCAGCAGGAAAAGCAGTCCAAATATGTTGGGGCTGGAAACTTAGACCAGCCGCGCGATGTTGTCACTTTTCCGAAGCCACACAAGTTGGACAATGGTCAGATGGGAGGGTGCTTTGACAGTGCCCCCCCTCCGACCCTGGGCCCTGCTTTGGGTTCCCAGAACATATTAGCACAATAAACCGGTCGAACACAACCGTTCAGATGCAGTGCCAAAAGCAACATGTTCAAGCAGCGTGCTGGAAAAATTCAGATTCTATCCCCACAGACACCGAGCGGCCACCTGGAATACCCTGGCCAAAAGAAGGGGTTCCCAAAGTTGGGGGGGATAAAGCTGAAAACCCAGCTCTGAAATTAGTCCCAACCCTAATTTACAGAGGAAGGCCCCCTTCCCCACCAGACCCTCTCACTCCTGCCGCCCGCTGTTTCCTGCTCACCCAGTTTCACTGCAAATCCTCTGCAACCATGAGAACTACGAACTTGTCCTTAAAATTGTCCTTAATTAATTAATTAAACTGTCCTTAAAAAGAGCCCGTTTGGTCTAGCGGTGAAGGCCCCAGGCTGAAAAGCAGGAGGTGGTGAGTTCCGGCTGGGCGACTTTGGGCCAGTCCCTCCCTCTCAGCCCAGCCCAGCCCAGCCCACCTCACAGGGTTGTTGTGGTAGGGAAAAGAGGAGGAGGAGGAGGAGGAAGGAGTATTAGGTACGTTCGCCACCTTGTTATTTGTAAACAATAATAATGGCGGGATAAAAAATCTAAAAAAAAAAAAAACTAAAAAAAAAAA